AAGATTTCTGATTCTTGTTTTTATTTTAGGCTTTTACACTATATGTTTTTTATTTCTTAAGGTATTTATTTCAAACTTCAAATATAAGTTGTCATCAACCACATCATATGTGACAAGGTTTACAACTCTAGCACAAAAATTGTCATAATTGCCTTCTTTGAACTTAAAATTTTCATGAAAAAAGTGTTTTTTTAAAATAACTTCTTTATTATGTAAAATGTATCTTCTTCAAACTTCATATATATGTTTCTTATTATCAATCAAATCATTTGTGAGAAGGTTCAATATTCTAGCATACTCTATTTCCAGAATAAGGTACACCTTGAACTTAGATTTTTTTTTTCGAGAAATTGGTATATTTTACTCCAACTTCTTCATTACTTATAGGATTTACTTCAAACTCCCACATCATGATAATATGACAAGGTTTATAAATCTAGCATCCATATTTCCAGAATTATGTCCTCCTTTAACTTCAATTTTTCTTATTCATTCTATCAACTTTCTTTTACTTCAAATTCAAAATAAACATTCATTATCAACACCTTCATTACTAATTGTTCTTTGTTACACTCACATCATGTATGATGTCTTGCATCTTTATTTCAAGAGTTATCTCCTTTTTAAGAATTTTGCTTTTAAAAATGTTATATTTTGGTAACAGGGATGTTTAAAAAATTGTCATTCAGTCTGTCTGTCTGTCTGTCTGTCTGTTCATTAAATCTGTTTCCTGTGATCACTTTTCCAACAAATTTACTTAAAATAGAAACATTAGTGAATGGCCAACGGCCCTTCAAAATGTTGCTGGATTCTAACCAGTAGGGGACATATGGATTGCTTGCAATACTATGATAATTGCTTGTTCCGTTCAATTTACTTACATACGAAGGAAGGTCATAGAAGAATATTGTTTTAGTCTTGTAGTGTTCAGGTTCTGTCCTTTATGACGTATTGTGTAAGTCAAGATACACGCTTAATTGATAAGTCACTTCATTGATCTTTTTCTCTTAAAATGAATATAAAATACGACAGAATATGAACATACTAGTAATTAAATGTAAACCTATTTAAGTCTGCTGTTTGTTTTAAATTATGAAGTTGTATTTTACTTCAAATGTTTTCAATTGGTGATTATTTTAAAACGCAATATTTAGTTTGCTAGTAAAATTAACCTTTAGACACAATCTTTGTTCACCTTTTTGTGCCCCCATGTTAGTGGCGGGCATTTAGATTTACCCTTGTCCGTCCGTCCGTCCGTCCGTCCGCACTCACAGGAGAGTAATTATGTGGCTAGAGGGACAATAGGTAACTGTTCTTTCTCCTTGATGTCATTCATTCCGTAATGCTTATATGTGGCTATTTTCTTTTGCGTGGCTAAAAAGAACAATAGAGAGAACAAAGGAGTAGCCACATAATTACTCTCCTGTTAGAACGTCCGTCTGTCCGTCCGTCCTTCCGTCCGTCCGTCCGTCCGTTCACTTTTGTGTCGCACGTAACTCAAAAAGTATTTGACCTAGAGTCATGAAACTTTACAGGAATGTTAATCAGCATGTGTAGTTGTGCACCTGGGTATTTTTGTCTTGATATTATTAGTATTTTCAGAGTTATTGCCCCTGACTTAGTAAAATTTTGCAATTTTCAACTTGTGTCGCATATAACTCAAAAAGTATTTGACTTAGAGTCATGTAACTTTACAGGAATATTGATCAGCATGTGCAGTTGTGCACCAGGTATTTTCGTCTGGATTTATTTTGTATTTTTAGAGTTATTGCCCTTCACTTAGAAAATTCTTGCAATTTTCAACTTGTGTCGCAAGTTACTCAAAAAGGATTTAAACATAGTCATTAAACCTTATGGTCAGGTTGCTCAGCATATTTAGATTTGCACCTGGGGTTTCGCTTGTGGATTTATCCAGTATTTGTAGAGTTATTTCCCTTGACTTAATAAAAAGATTGACAGAACAGTGGTGCGGTGGGGGCACCCGTGTCCTATGGACACATCTCTAGTTCATGTTAATGATACATGTAACATTTAGATATTGATCAGTAAGTGAATAACAAAAATAAAATTTTTGTAATTACTGAAAACTTTTCATGCTTATTGTGAGACGAACCTAAATGACGTTAGTATGGGCGCCGCCATTTTGAAATGGATGTCACGTCAGGTTACAACTTAAGTCAACGGGAAAAAGTGTTATTTTAACATTTTGACCTACTGACTTTATGAAAAAAATGAAAAACATGCCTAGAGATATTGACATCAGGGTTAACATGACATTTATTTAAATGACTTTACTATTATATTTAACAAAAAATGGAATATTCAAATTTGGTGGGACAGACTATAGTAACTTAACTATAAATGTCTTTTTTTGACAAATACCGTTTATGTATAAGTCCTCTGAAGGAAGTTGAATGTTTTTATGTTTGCTAACTCTCATTTTTCATAGACTTTAACAGTGTTAAAATGTTTTCGACAAAAGGAATCTTCATATGAAAAGTTTGCGTCTCTATCTGACTTAAAGTTTTTATATTCTATTAAAGAAGCCTTAGAAGTAGCCGGACATTGACATATTTCCTCCCTCAGGTTGAAAATTCCCTAAAAGTTCAAAACTTTCCTACCAAAATTGATTTAATTAAACAGAAATCAAAAGGAGCAATTGATGCTGTCATATTGGGTAATTGTGATAGGTGAGAAATGCCGAGTATAACCACATGAGCAATATTTGCATATTTTTTTACTGCAAGCATTTTGCACCTAAATAAATATTATCTATAAAAGTATTTAATTGTTGATAACACGTGGTTTTAAAGAGTTTATTGTAATTAATTGTTTATACTCCCCTGAGCAAAAATAACGCAAAGTTGCTGTTTGTGTGCTATTTTTCCTCTAAAAAAGAGATATGGCAGCATCACATAGTCGTACCAAAAAAAAAAACCACCCTGATAAACATAATAATGTCAATGGTTAAAAACTAGGTTCTCCGCGAAACCCCTTCCACCACCCTGTTTTGTCCTTGAAATGGTGTCTGGGTATTCTTCAGATTTATATAGTTTGTTATGGCCGAAAACAAAATCAGTAGTGTTAGATAACTATTTTCTTTAGACACAAGTGTTAATTATATTGTATTCTATGAATTATTTAATTTAAACAATATTCATTAGATTTATTATGCTCCCCGAAAAATTTCGGGGGAGCATATAGTCGTCGGGTTGTCCGTCCGTCAGTCCGTCCATACGTACGTCCCGAATTCGTTCCCGGCCCATAACTTTGTTATTTGAAGTCCGATTATAAAACACAGAAATGATCATTATATTGAGACGACGTGTCGCGCGCAACATTTGGCTCGCTACCTTGAAGGTCAAGGTCACAGCATGACCTTGCAGCAAAATCGTGTCCGGTCCATAATTTCATTATTTGAAGTCGGATTTTAAAAATTTTTCACAGAAATGATAACCATATTAAGGTGACGTGTCGCGCGCAACATTTGGGTTGCTACCTTGAAGGTCAATGTCACAGCATGACCTTGCAGCAAAATAGTGTCCGGCCCAGAACTTTGTTATTTGAAGTCGGATTTTAAAACTTTTTCACAGAAATGATCACCATATTGAGACGACGTGTCGCGCGCAACATTTGGCTTGCTACCTTGAAGGTCAAGGTCACAGCATGACCTTGCAGCAAAATCGTGTCTGGCCTATAACTTTGTTATTTGAAAATGGATTTTAAAAATATTTCACAGAAATGATCACCATATTGAGACGACGTGTCGCGCGCAACATTTGGGTCACTTCCTTGAAGGTCAAGGTCACAGCATGACCTTGCAGCAAAATTGTATCCGGCCCATAACTTCGTTATTTGAAGTCCGATTTTAAAAATATTTCACAGAAATGATCATCATATTGAGATGACGTGTCATGCACAACATTTGGGTCGCTACCTTGAAGGTCAAGGTCACAGCATGACCTTGCAGCAAATTCGTGTCCGGCCCATAACTTTGTTATTTGAAGATAGATTTTAAAACTATTTCACAGAAATGATCACTATATTGAGATGACGTGTCGTGCGCAACAATTTGGGTTTCTACCTTGAAGGTCAAGGTCACAGCATGACCTTGCAGCAAAATCATGTCCGGCCCATAACTTCGTTATTTGAAGTTGGATTTTACAACTATTTCACAAAAATGATCACCATATTGAGACAATGTGTAGTGCACAACATTTGTGTTATTTTTACACTTTGAACTTTTTCTGTGACATAACTGACACTACAAGAGGTATACCTTCCTGTGTCCAAAACCTATTCGGGGAGCATCACCCGGTTCAACCGGCTCTTGTTTGCAGTGGCAATTGGTTGTAACAGGTTAAAAGTTTGTAAGCAATCTTGTTGCAGATGCTGTAAAAGATCTCTGTTTTTGATTGTATTGTGTTGAGTAATAAAAAAACAGACTATTTGGTTTTGTCAGTCTGTCAGGGAAATTTGTATATGCAATTTTAAAAGGACAAAATGCAATTGACATAATGTTATTATTGGTCATCAGAGTTCTGTCACTTACTTGAAGTTACCTGCCATTGTTGGATTTTGAACCTGACAGGAACTTTGCATTCTTTCAAGCTACAGTACTTACACAGCTTTTCCAGTTAAATGATTTTTGGCTGAGTTGTGGCCCTTGAATTAAAAAAGGCGTTTTGGCATGTTAATGATTTTTGTGTTGCCAGCTACACAGTAGCTGATAAATGCTTCAAAGTTGTCACAACTTCTGTGTCATGTGTCTGTCCCTTCGTCTGTTTGTCCAACACAAACTTGTCCGGACCACTCCTCAACAACATTTGGGGGAATTTCATCCAAACTGCAGGACTGACCAGTACCAAATTTTCAAGTTTTATGATTTTTGTCAGAGTTATAGCCCTTTGATATTTTTTTGTTTTTTAATGTTTTGTCTAGATTTATTCTCTTTATAAACTACTAATGCAAGTAGAATGAACTTTACTGGATTGATTAATATCTCAAGAACTTATGCATTTATGCAGAGTTTTCTAGTTGAATGATTTTGGGCGCTGTTATGACCCTTGAATAAAAAATGTGTTTTGACCTGTTAATAGTTTTAGCTCGACTATACGAAGTATATGGAGAACTGCCCTACTTGCCCTGTCGTGGCGTCTGCGTCCAGATTAAAGTTTTTGTGCAGTAAAATGATTTTTCATTATAACTTTAACATTTCTTAACCCTTTCCCCCATGAGCATATTGTGAAAAATGGCCATTTTCACTGAAAAGCCTCCTCTTACAAGTTCAAACTGCTATGAAACTATGAAACATGCTTCAATACTAATCAAACTTGGCACAAATGTTGACTGGACCATTGCCTTTGTAACGACATGCTCAGTCTGAAATTTCCTGTTACCATGGCAACGAGGGGACATTTCAAAATTGCCAAAAATCACTATTTTGCCTCGTTATTTTTTCCATCAAAATTTATTTCAAAGTGCTGCAACTTCTCAAGGGTTTGAGATAGAGTCAAAGGCTTTTCAGCGTTGGTCATTTTAAGCCTCTCACAAGTCCAAAATTTTCTTGGCGATGAGGAGGACTCCGCCCCCCTTTCAAACCACCAAACAGAAGGGGGCACACCCCCCTTCTGGTAACCTCCTGATGTATCTTTTGGATGGGGGGCCGCGCCAAAAAAGTGCTCACTATTTTAGCAACATTTCTCAAACGAAAACATGTGTTTGGGGCCCGAATAGGACATTTTTTCACTATTTTAGGCCTAAAAAAGGGAGGGGGGGTCGAAAGTGCGTTGTTTCGCGTATATATGTGGTAAAGGGTTAAGGTATCAACTTCAAACTTCAAATATATGTTCCTTATCATCAACCACATCTTATGTGACAAGGTTCATAACTCTAGCACCAATATTTTCAGATTTATCTCCCCACTCAGAATTTTCCTTACAAAATAGTATTTTTTACTGTTACTTTATTTCTTAAGGGATCAACCTCATACTTCAAATATATGTACATTATCATCATCCCCGTCTTATGTGACAAGGTTCATAACTCTAGCACCAATATATTTAGATTTATCTCCCCTTGAACTTAGAATTTTCCTTAAACAATAATATTTTTTATTATTACCCCTCACTTTTTTCGTAATGTTAATTTCCCATAGGCCTCTGGGAGTTATTCTTACTGTTAATGCAAGTGTACCATGTGACTAAGAATTTTGTACTGTTACATAGGTAACAGTATTTTTTAACAGTATAAAATCTGGTCACGTGGTCTATTTTCTAAATATTGAAATGGCCGCCATCTTCTTTCCTCGATTTAAGGTTTTATTTTTAAATTTTAATACGTAGTGCCATTACAACAGTAAATCAGGAGGGACCATGAACCACCGAAATTAGTTGTTTGTAACCTAAAATGCTTTTCGTGTCTAAAACCGCTTTGGGTTGAATGATAAAATTGCAAGTCGTGTCTGGTTAGCAGCAGAAAACAAAATCGCATGGATTGCCTGCACAAAAATGGAACAAGCAAATAAACAGTTTAAATCTACAACAAAGAATATTTACAAAAATTATTAGTTGCAGCTGATTCAGTGAGCACCAAACGAGTTATTGATCGTTCCAAAAAGCTCTTCAATGATTTTCTGGTGAGCGCATCGATTGATATTCCTATCAATGAAAGAATTTCTTAATGAACATGTTGAACTTTTCCTTGCTTCCATTAGAAAATTAGATGGAGATGATATGAACAAGAAATCATTGGACAGTGTGAAATATGGACTTTCAAAGTTTCTGATGATTGACTTCAAAATTGACTTGAGCAGTTCAGATTTCAGTGGCACAAAAAGAACCTACACAGCAAAAGTAAAACAACTGAAAATGATGGTAAAGGATCTGTACAACATAAAAGTCTTATAGAAATTGCTGACTTAAAGAAGCTGAATGATGTTGACTGTGCACAAGAACCGTAACTCTGTCTTGCCTAATTTTTTATTTATCCCCCTGTGGACTTCAGAGCCATGTCTGGTTCTTTCTTATGTGGTATCTAATCAGATGTGGCCAAGAAAATCTACGCTCTATGACAAAGTCTACATTCTCTATTGGTGCCACTGGTTCGGGTCGAAGATACATTGAACAAGTTATTGATGAGGCTGACAAAAATCACAGGTAGATTTTAATTTTAATATAAAGTCTAAGTTGATTTTACTTCAAGAATTGATATCTTAATCTGGATCAAATTATTTAGAGAAAATATATATCCTCATCTGCCCATGATTCGACACCCTAAGCATTCAAATGTTATATAAACGATTGAAAAGAAAATAAATCACAATAAAAATGTCTTGTTAATTTATTTATTATCCGTTCACATTGATTCAGTATTAATTTTCTAATAAAAGGCTTAAGTATAAGCTATAAATCGTAGTAAGTAAAGGTTATTGACCTTTCCCATCCGACATTTTCAATGGTCCTTGTTTCGTCACCACGCACCTGCAACGCACTTTACTTAAAATATACATTTCCGGTAGCATGTTTCTAAGAAATTTCTTACTCATTAAAATGTAAACAAAGCAGACGAAGTTAAAAACTTTTGATAACAGTCCGATAAAAATGAAATGATGATAAAAAATTTATTTATACCGTAAGTATTTTATCCTTAATTTCTGTCTAAAAATTGTTGCTAAATGAAAATTGCCGATACATGTAATGTACACATTAATTGATTTTCTCACTATTTTGGTACCTCCGAAATGATTGGGTGATAAAATAAAACAGTGACAAATCAAGGGCAGGTCAAATTTAGGGCACTCAACGGTATGTTCGATCATTATAAAAATGTAGTAAGACGAGCAAGTTACTGACTTCATCATTGCATTTATATATTATTGAAAAAATGCACTACGGCTAGCCTCAACAGTGCGTATAGCCTAGATATACCTGCCTACGACTACAACTTTCGGCTAGCAGTACGGACCTGTATGGCTAGCCACTTCCTTATTACTATACATGTATATAGATACATACATTTTGTAGTACAAATATAACATTAATAAATCACTGACAGAAAAGTATACTTTATGATTTTATATCAAAACAATTTTGTTTTGTTTGTTTTCTGTGTTTATACACAGGGATGTCATGGTTAGAAAAAGTATTCACCATTAAATGGCGATGTAATAACCAACCATACTAATAGAATACTTGGGTTTTCAACTTTAACTTTTTTTTCTTTCTTTTTTTTATGACAACATACAAATGTATGCCATTTTGTTGTACTCAAAATGATTTAGCTTACAATACATATCCGAATACGGAGTAACTATTTTCTGCTAGGGTGGTACTGTATTCTATCAGATCAGAAAAAATACATTGTTGAGTGTAACAACTCAGATACAAACAATTGTCATATCTTGTCATAAAAAAACTTAGGTAATATTTAGAATCAATTTAAAACTTTTCCGCCTTTTAGTCAGATACTTATTATTATTGAATTTTTTAACCAGTTTTTAGCTAAAAACCGACTGAACCCGTTAAACAGATAAACCTGACACATCTAGTTTCACCCAGCATTCGATCGGATTTATTAGCTTTCCGGAATAGCTTACAAATTACTATTAATTACCAATTTCTCTAAATTTGACAACTATCATTCCAACTCAATTTCTATAATTAAAACATCATTCTAAATTTTTCTGTTTGTAAAATTTTGCGAAAAAGCAAAAATTGTGTTTTGATAAAGACTGTCGCAATTAAACAATAAATTAAAATCACTTTAAATATATTGCTAGTTTATAAAGAAATATTTATTTATTTAGGCTAATTTTTATATTTTTATTTTTCAGTGGAGATGTACACCCAGACCAAACAATTGGTGAAGGGAAATTGTATGATTGGGGTGAAAATCCAAACTGCCCAGTGAGAATGTTCGAAAAGTACATGTCTAAACTAAATCCAAAGTGTGAAGCACTAAGGCAAGGGCCTCTTGAATCATTTAATGAAAATGATAAAGTGTGGTTTTATAACGCTCCACTGGGGAAAAGTATACTTGCAAATTTAATGCCAAAAATCTCTACACAGGCAAACTTGTCTCGAATCTACACTAATCACTGCCTAAGGGCTACAGCAATCAAAGCACTTGATGACGCCGGAGTTGAAGCCCGTCACATTATGAGAGTATCTGGACATCAGTCAATGTTGTCCATAGATTTGTATGCAAAACGCCTTTCTGAATCGAAGAAAGAAGAAATTAATGACATTCTCTCAGCACCGTTTGTTGCAAAGCCATTAAAAGAACCAGCTTCATGTACTACTTCTATACAGAAAACAACTACAAGTTCAACCTCCAAAAGAAAAAGCTTAGTCCCTACAGCAACTGTAAGTTCTGTGCCGCTAGATGACCTTGATTCTATTGACTATGAAGACTTATTCAATAAGGAAAATGATTTTTCTGAAATGAATCAAATTCCTATCTGCACCAGTATTTCTCAAGTGAAAAACACAGCTTCTATTCAGTCTGGTGGTGTCTCTGAGAACAAACCTCGGCACCAATATTCAATATAAGCAATTGTGTTGTACACTTCAATTATGGTAGCAAATAACTCAGATAACTTTGTTGTTACATATTGACATACATTCAGATTTTTAGTTGTAAAGTTCATTTGAGATATAACAGTTAAAAAAGAATTTTAACTGTCTTAGGTGATTAAGTACACAAGTTTCAGGTTGTCAAATATGTTTATGATTTTGCAGTTAAATATTCATATTGACAGTTTTCTGATAATTCTATATAATGTCTTAAATGTTATATTTGCTGTTAATTTTCTTGTAAAGGCAGTACTTTACAATAAAAGTTTTATGTTGATGTTGTTATATAGTTTTTTTAATCTGAGAAAAGTTACCGTATATCGACCAAGGATGATAGTCCGAGGTCAATATAACTTTTCATTATGTCTGAAAAGTATATTATTGATATATCGTATAAAACTATCTGTAACACTTTTTGCGTTAATTTTTGAAAGATCAAATTCACTTTCATTATTGAAATTATGACTGTTAAATAGGTTGACTATAAGAAGTATCTGAAGAGCTCTTCTACTCAATCTGGTGTCCGCACCCAGATTTCAGATTAAAGTTTTTGTGCAGTAAAATACTTTCTATATTTTTTTTTCAATTCTTATGGTATCAACTTCAAACTTAAAATAAATGTTCCTTATCATCAACCACATCTTATGTGACAAGGTCCATAACTCAAGAAGCAATATTTTTAAAATTATCCCCTTCTTTATTTCTTAAAGTCAACTTCAAATATATGTCCCTTATCATCAAACACATCAAATGTGACAAGGTTCATAACTCTAGAAGAAGAATTATCTCCCCATGAACATACATTTTTTCCCTTAAAAATGTATTTTTAGTATAACTTCTTTTTATGCCACCGCAGCATCTGCGATGCGGTGGCATATAGCGATTCACCTGTGTGTGTGTGTGTGTGTGCGTGTGTGTGTGTGTGTGTGTTTGTTTGTTTGTGTGTGTGTGTGTGTGTGTGTGTTATATAGATTATATAGTGAACTTAAAAAATCTTCTTGTGAAAAACCACTAGTCCAATTTCAATCAAACTTGGCAGGATTGATCCTTGGGTGAAGGGGTTCCAAAGTTGTTCAAAGAATTTCATTCCATGCAGAAATCTGGTTGCCATGGCAACCAAAAGGAATTAAAAGAATAAATTTAAAAAATCTTCTTGTAAAGACCCAAAAGGCCTAGAGCTTAGATATTTTGCATAAGGCATTGTCTGGTAGACCTCTACCAAGATTGTTCAAATTATAGCCCTGGGGTCAAAATCGGCCCCGCCCCGGGGGTCATTGATTTTCACTATATGTACATATAGTTAAAACTTAAAATACCTTCTTGTAAAGACTGAAAAGGTCTAGAGCTTAGATATTTTGCATAAGGCATTGTCTGGTAGACCTCTACCAAGATTGTTCAAATTATAGCCCATTGGGTCAAAATTGGCCCGGCCCGGGGGGTCATTGATTTTCACTATATGTACATATAGTAAAAACTTAAAATACCTTCGTGTAAAGACCCAAAAGGCCTAGAGCTTAGATATTTTGCATAAGGCATTGTCTGGTAGACCTCTACCAAGATTGTTCAAAATTATAGCCCTAGGGTCAAAATTGCCCCTGCCCCGGGGGTCATTGACTTTCACTATATGTACATATAGTAAAAACTTAAAATACCTTCTTGTAAAGACCCAAAAGGCCTAGAGCTTAGATATTTTGCATAAGGCATTGTCTGGTAGACCCTTACCAAGATTGTTCAAATTATAGCCCTGGGGTCAAAATCGGCCCCGCCCCGAGTGTCATTGATTTTCACTATATGTAAATATAGTAAAAACTTAAAATACCTTCTTAATTGTAAAGACCCAAAAGGCCTAGAGCTTAGATATTTTGCATAAGGCATTGTCTGGTAGACCCTTACCAAGATTGTTCAAATTATAGCCCTGGGGTCAAATTCGGCCCGCCCGGGGGGTCATTGGTTTTCCTTTTATGTATATAGTAAAAACTTATAGTAAAAACTTTTAAAAAATTTCTTCTAGCAATTGACAAATGCTAGAGGTTAGATATTTTGCATGAAACATTGTGAAGTGAACTTCTAGCAAGATTGTTGTTGAATTTTAGCCCTGCCAGTGTCAAAATTGCCCCCGCCCCAGGGGTCATTGATTTTAAATATATATATAGTAAAAAATCTTATTGTCTGAAGGTACAAGGCTTAGAGCTTAAATATTTGTTAAATGATATCATCTATAGGAACTCTACCAAAGTTGTTCAAATTTTGCCTCTATAGTGTCAAAATCTAGTGTCAAAATTAGGTTTTCCTTATATGTATAAAGTAAAAACTAAAAAATCATCTTCTTTAAATTTACAAAGACTAGAGTTAAGATATTTTGCATGAAACATCATATGTAGTGAACCTCTAGCAAGATTGTTCAAATTATAGCCCTGGGGTCAAAATTGGCCCCACCCCCAGGGGTCATTGATTTTCACTATGTACACATAGTAAAAAAATAAAAAATATTTTTGTCTGAAGGAACAAGGGATAGAGCTTTGATGTTTGCTATATAATATCATCTATTCTCATTATGTACACATAGTAAAAACAGAAAATAAAACAAATGTTTTCTGAATGGGAGAAAGCTACAGCTTAGATATTTGACTTGAAATGTTGTTTGGTGGACCTGTATCAAGATTGTTTTGAATTAAACCCTTGGGTCCAAAATTTTGCCTTGCCCAAGTTGACAGTGACCTACTTTCTTGTCCTTTGATGTACAGCAATGAAATTTTGACCATGTGCACAGTTTTAGTTGTAAAGTTGAACTTTGATATCAGGTGACCTAGATTTTGTTGATGTGACCTACTTTCTTGTCCTTTGATGTACAGCTATGAAATTTGAACCCTGTGCACAGATTAAGATGTAAAGTGAACTTTGATTTCAGCTGACCTAGATTTTGACAAAGTGTCTTACTGTGTTGTCCTTTTGATGTAGTCATGAAATTTAGGCTGTGTGAAATATGACCTTCACCACCAAATTTTCTAGACTCGAGTGCATTGATATATTCCTACTCTGATCTTTTATTGAGTTAACATTAAATTTAACCACTTATCTGATAATAAGAGTAAGATAGGTCAGGGATCTATGCTTTATGACAATCTTCAAAATTGTAAAGAAACAAAAAAAATCTGTTCCTACACTACTATTTAGTGTTGTATTATTGCGGTGGCAAAGCATTTTTCTCAAATGCAATCTTGTTTTTAAAGGTATCTTCTTCAAACTTCAAATATATGTTCCTTATCATTACCCACATACTGAATGACAAGATTCAGAAGTGTAGATCACTTTTTTTAGTCCCCCCCCCCTCCCATTATAAAAATTGTTATAAAAATTGTTATATTTTGCTTGTAATTTAAGTTTCATATCAACTCCGTTATAATAATAATATGAAAGGTTCATAACTCAAGAGTCAATATTTTCAGAATAACTCCCAGTAAACTTATAATTTTCCTTATTTTTTTCTGTAATTTCTTTATTTCTTCAAAGATTTAATTCAGACTTCAAAAGTATGTTTGTTATCAACAACTTTGTAATATGGGATAGGATTTATAATGCTAGGTCCTGTTTTTCTAGATTTATCTCCATTTAATTGTTGAACTTGGAATTTATTTCAAAATTATATTTTTTTAAGTGTTTTTTTTGTGATTTTAAATGGTATATACTCTAAGTTCTTCTTCATTACTCACATCATACATGGCAAGGTTCATAACTCTAGCATCTTTATTTCAAAAGTTATTTCCTCTTAAGTTATAATGTTACTTTAAATACTTGACAGACTTTTTGCTCTTATCATTTTTGTTACTGAAGGCATTGAATTCAGTTTCAAATTGTTGTCTTTTACATTAAGGCATAGAAATGCCTGTTTCACTTTTATTGACATGGTCACATTTATAATTATTATGTGATGCAAAAATATAGAACATCTGAGTGCTTTCACTCAAACAGAAATATATAAAAATCATATATCATACACAGGCACGAGTATCGGACCTGGGAAGAAAAAATATGACCAGATTGATAATAAAACCTGTGTTCATCTTAAAAGTGTCAAAAACCAAAAAAAAAAAACTTTAAATAATGACCTCCTTTAAAAATATACTATACGTTAAGAGAAGGTCGGAAACTCCAGATTCGAGCCTACGAGCAAGGGATTCATTTCCCGGGCCGCTGTGAAAACAATTGGCCAGAGAATTAAAAAAAACCTTTATCACTATTTCACGTTTGTATTAAGCTTCAAAATGAGACCAACCCCAAGTCTCTAGCCCTACCCGTTCATGAAATATCTATCAGGAAACGAGCGAATTCGTGCTAAAAATCCTTGGTAGACAGAATTGCGGCACAACGATTCGGTGGGGGGGGGGGGAAATCCCGGGATCGCCTACAGAAAAGCCGGGATCCGGGATCGTATTAAACATATAGTAATCCCGGGAATTGACCACCAGTTCTCGGTGTCGACGATAAATTATCGATTATCTCATGCATTTCGTCAAAGATATGCTTGTGATATGCTTGTTGACAATTTTAATGATGTTTTTTTTATTGTTGATGGCTATGATATAGTTTTATATTTGAATGTTTTTCGGTACTGTATACATGTTTCTTGGTTGGTTATTTAATGAAAACGTTTTATTAATAACAGCCGTACTACAAATACTACAATTTGTACGGAAATAAAGTTTAGATTATTATTATTATTATTATTATTATTATTATTATTATTATTATTTGAATGTTTTTGTAGAGCTTTTTGAATAAGTTTGATTTGTAGTAGGTATGAAAAAATATCTGCTAACGTATTTTTTCACACATGAGAGAGTTAATTGACATCAGAATGTCACACACCTAAAATCTTATTTTGGAAGTACATGTACTGGCAGTGGAAGTCGCTGTGTATTGGTTATCAAGACTGCGGGGCCCCTTATTGAACACGTGACTGTTGGTGTGTCCTTTATAAACATCATGATAAAAGTTTAATATACATGTATACATACATGTATATTCTTAAATGTATTTACCAAACTTTAATCATAATATGATAATATATAATAAGAAAAAGTAAATATAAGTTGTCAATCAATTCATTTATTGATATATATATATATGTATTTTCATAAATCATTAATGCAGGTGTCATTGGTAAAATATCGATTTGATAATTAACCCCTACATTTGTTTACAGATGTGTAATGTTATGTCAGTGTTCTTAAAGAAATTAT